TAGTGACTGTGATATAGAAATGGCCACTAACAGCGGCAGAACCATAGAGGTGAGGGAGAAAAATAACTGTTGCTGGTCTTTAAAAAAGAAAGTTATTGAAGGAAACTGAACAAAGGAGTCCAAGGGAAGGAGGAAAGCTTCACTAGAGTAGAAAGTCACTTGGTGAATGAAATGGAGGCTCAATAGCTGAATGAATGCCCGTGCTGAAGAAAAATCCTGAGTTTAACAGTGGCAAAGATTACTGTCCTAAACTCACAAGAGTTAAAGGGTGGACATCCAGAGAGAGCTGCAACAGTGAAAACCTCAGCTCTCTCTGCCTCTATCTGAGTGTGAAAGTCTGAATGAGAGTGTGTAACGATAGTAGAAAGATTTTCAAATATTGATGGAAGTGGTTAATTTTCTAATCTGGGGAGAGGTAATTTATTATTAACAACAACATATGGATTAGAGTCTGTAAGTTGAATATACTTGGATAACAAAACCCATGTTTGTTTGCTAAAACTTTGATTTGTTGTTCCAAAATAAAAAAAAAGTTTTGGTAACAAGCAGAGTTACCTACAGATCAAAACTATACACAGGTTTTATGCAACCTCTCCAAAATCTAATCCCCACCCCAGTGGGTTTGTCTACAACAAAATAGTACATTTCACTTCCTCCTCTCCAAGATTTACTTTCTTGTGTCAGGTTCAGAACCCCAAGTTGAGGGCGTGACTCAGTGTGTGTGTGGGGGGGGGGGCATAATGTTAATCGAGACAGTCGCATAGCCATTAAATCCCCTAGAACTATTAATTTCCAATACGAATGTTGAAACCAGTTGAGGCAGGGCGACTGATGGGGAGCAGCAGGGATGGTCACAGCAGATAAGCTGTGTGGGTTAGCTGATGTTACAGAATCTGTTGTGACATCCGAATGTCTTGAGAGAGGGGAACTACTTTTTATAGCATAGGTGCTATAACCTGGTGATCAGCTGCTGTCTCTTGTTGTACTGAAGAGTTAGATAAAAGTTTTGTCTAAATTAATCTCTCCCTTTTTTCCCACAGCCCAAAGCTGCATGTCATCCAGCCATCTTCAGAACTATTGAAGAATTTTTTAAGTAAGGTTGCATACAGTTTAACAGAAAGATTTTATTCTAACCTTCTCAAGTAACTACAGGAATTTTATTAGCACTTGAAATAAGGATTTTGTTTCTATCTGTGACCCTTGATGAGAGTGCCCCAGCATAACCATCTTTTAGATATGGTAATATTAACACTGTCATCCAGAGACCTACACACTCACCTCAGTCATACTGTTATACAAGGCAAAAAACTTAGTGTAAGATGTTGAATGGGTGACAATGGCAAAACGGGCTATTCTCAAGGTACTTACTTAAGACTCAAGATCCTGGAATTATTATTTGTTCAAGTAAATACTTTCAACCAAACCATTCATTAATTGGTTCATTTATTTTTGTAGGGTCAATATAACTTTGTAAAAAAAATAGAAAAACAAGGACTGAAAATGTTAGATAAAGGAAAAGAAACTCTGTGTTTTGTGGGGAGGAACGACTAACCTCTTCAAGAATCCTGAAAGAAATTTTCAAAGACTGGGGTGGGATTTGCATTCTACCCTCTCTCCATGATTTCTTCTAGCCCCAACTTGTTTTCTGGATATACGTAAATCAGTTTTACCAGTTCCTCTGGTAAAGGCCTTCCCCTGATGTTGCCTCCTAGCTCTGGGATTAAGAGGTTTAGTGCCTCTGAACATGGAGGTTCCCCTCAGTCATCATGACTGGTAGCCACAGATAGACTTATCCTACATGAATCTGTTTATTCCTGTGGCCATCACTACATCCTCTGGCAGTGAATTCCACAGTTTAATCACTCTCTGCGTAAAGAAGTGTTTCCTTTTGTATGTCCTGAATCTGCTGCCTGTCAGCTTCATTGGATGCCCCTGGGTTCTAGTATTTTGGAAGTGGGAGAAAAAAATCTCTTTGTCAACTCTCCATCCAATGCATTATTTTATAAACCTCTATCATGTCCCCTGCTTAATCATCTCTTTTCTAAATTGAAAAGTACCAGACTCTTCAGCCCTTTCTCTTAGGGAAGGTGCTCTAACCTCATAATCATCTTGGTTGCCCTCTTCTGTACTTTTCCCAGCTTCTGTCAGGTTTTTTTTTAAGTAGTATTTTTGGAGGGTGTGAGAGAGAAGGGGCGGGGGCAACATCAGGAAAGTGTTCTGAGAAGCCATTTGAGGCATAAGAGGCAGCAAGCTGAAAGGGCAAAGTAATTTGAGGATGTAGGAGATGGTTGTAGGGCTATAATAGGGCTATTAAAAGAAAGGTAAAGGAGTGAGGCCATGGGAGGACTTTGAAGGGAAGGATGAGGCTGTGCTGAATTCAGGAAAGATCCAGAAGCCAATAGAAGGATTTTAGGAGAAGTGATGAGAGAGGTAAATGTCATTTGGAACATGGTGAGGTTTCCCCATTCTGAAATTGGGTTAGGAAGAATACAAGTTGTTGTATATTCCAGAAACCAGTTTTGGAATGAGACAAGGGGAGCTTTGCCCATCACTGGTCATAGAGGGGGGAAAGGCAATACAAGAGTATTCTCTAAACAGCTCTTCATGTTAGTTATTATAGAAATTAATGATGGAATTGCACTTTATAGTCCATCAATTTTATTTTCAGTAAATCAAATTATAAATTATAAATTCTCCATGAATGCTCGCTTTGTCCTAAGAAGCTGGAAGGATTTACTGAAATGCAGGTGCTAGATAGTGCCTTTGGCTGTTCTATTGCTAATCTCTTCAGTAGAGTGGGTTGTGAGATAATATTATTCAATATGAAGTCAAAAAGAGTATAATAAATATTTTCAGTGCATTGAAACAGCCTCAAGCAGTATTCATTACTTACCACATAGTGGCTTCAAATCTTGGTCATGAATCTTTAATTTTGAATTTATTCTGCTTCCTGATTGCTTTTTGAACAAAAGTATTCTGATTTCTCATGAGTAAACAGATTAGTAAAGGTAGTACAAGTCAAAAATAGTAAGACACATTAACTTTTTTAAGTTCCAAGAAAAAAGCTGCTTTTATGAAATTATTGGTCATTGGGATTGAGTCAAGTAGTAGAATTCAAATGTGAAAGTTTCATTGCAGAAGATATTGTACAGCTCTCAGTTTGACCTATTTTTTGCAATGGAAGCATTTGTACTTATAATTTTATTGCAGGTGATTGAGGTTATTGATTTCACCAATTAATATTTATACTGTCTCTGAAATCTTACTTGGAATACAAAAGAAATTTAACAATGAAAATATCTCCAAGTACAGGCAGGGCAAATTTCAGAGACAACTCCCCCAGTTCATAAATTTGCGAACCATAACAAGTAGAGCAAAACCTGACTTTTGTCATAATGGCTAGGTGCCAGCCTTCTACCAATGCCTGCCTTCCTTCCCTGCCCACAGTTCACATACTTTGCCACACTTTCTAAATTAAGGGGGCGGGAAGTAAATGTCAAAAGCTGACGTTCATCTTAAATTCCCATGGCTCCTCTCTACAGTTAGGGTTTCTGAGTGTGCTTGGAGCTTCTATTGCTTATGGGAACTCTAAAAACTATGGTGTGTCTTTTTAAAATTTCACTTTAGAAATGAGGAATAGAAATGTACACTTCCCAGGGTTCAGTGGGCAACAGATGAGTACATATGCAGAGCCCTTAATTGCATATGGGAACCACGGGAATGTAAAATGAGCCCCTGACTTTTCCCAGTGTTCTTTATTTTCTCCTCCTCCCCTCCAGAACTTGATAAGTTTGGGTTAGTGCCACTGGTGCTCATATTTTCCCACCACCAAAGTGAAGGAACTCTTCTTAGTAGAATATTTCCAAGTTAGGAAGAACTCTTGAAAATAACAGATTTTTTAAAAAGAGGTCTCCAAGCAACCTTGGATAAACCATACCAATTATGACTCAAGAACAGGAAATTTCACAAATTGCTGGTTTTGACAGGTGAAATGTTAAAAGAAATAGAGCATTTTCTACATCAGTTGCCAGTGTTCTTTTCATGAGATATTTACATGTGCAGCTGTCATTATAAACTGTCCCTAAACCAGGGGTGGGCAGACTTCAGGGATGCATCTACTTTTTATTTTGACAGAGCCTCGCTCTGCCAGTTGGAGCTAGTCACAGAATGGCAGCTGAGGAGGTGAAGCTTGTCAGATTTACCTGTTGCACCACATGAGCCATGCCTGTCTGTATAAATAAAAGTTCACTGATTTTCTGTGGAATAGGATTTATAATGATGGTTCTAAAAACTCTGTAGAAGAGGTATACACAGTCCTGATTCCAGGCTGATCAATCACTACTTTCACTTTACAGGGGTGTGATAACATTTTTAGAAAAGAAAAACTGGTCTTGTGTGCTTATTTTAACATGGGGATTCTTTAAGAACCCATGGCAGTTTCTTGTGGATTTGGCAGCACCGAGCTGAACATATAGAATGAAATTGTGGCTTAGGCAGGTTGTGCTTTTGCTGAAGGTGAGTTAATCCAGAAGCTATTTTTAGAGCTGTCAATAATGGCAAGATGGGGGAAATCACTAGGAGGAGCAGGATAATAAATATAAAGACATGAGAAGAATACATAAAAGAAAATAGAAATGTGTTCTCCAGTGCCTGGAGGTGAGGAGAGCCTAGCAGTTTCCTGCTAACAGCAAAACATACTAGGCAGCCGGAGGACAAAAATATGGTCCTAACAGCTGTGCCACCAGAGCCCCTCTTGCATTTCTCAAAGTTCAATTTATTGTGCAACGAACAAATAAATAATAAAAATTTAGTGCAAGAGTTTGATGCATCTAAGTTACTATATAGGTAAACATGCATTGTGTTTAGAGTGGTATCTGAAGGTTTCCATTGCCAGTGGATCTGTGCTAATAGCAACTGTATTGTAAAAAGGTATTTATATATTCACTTTTGACTGTTTGAAGTTCTCTTCATTTGCCAAGTTGGCATAATAGTTGTGTTTAAAGCACAACTCAAGGCATGGGAAGAATGCTTCCATTTGGTTTCTTTTCTTAGTGGGCGGCTTTGTGATTGGCACACTCATAATCTCACCTGTCATAATTAAACTTTTTCATTGCTCAGGAATGCATTGCTGGAAACCAACGGAGCACCAGAAGTAATGACTATAATGCAAGTGTTTACACGATGCTTTCATCAAGCTTACCAAGGGAATAATAATCAGGTGAGTCAAACTCCATTTTTCATTCTTTAAAAATACTTAGAAGATTGGAACTTTCATATATAAAGTACAGTTTTAGGTATCAGGAATACAGTGCGCCAAAGAATACCTTTTTGCTTCAATAAATGGACACTAAGTTATGTTTGAGGTGTCTTGAACAGAAGTATATGTGAAGCCAATATATCACCATTTGGTGATATTGTTGGAGCAGTCTAAAGTATACTACTTATTATTACCTGCACAGGTGATAGTGTTACTTTCTCCTTGATTTATCTACCTCCATGCAGATCTACAATACGACTCTACTCTGGTCATGAAATGGCACAGAAATCAGATATTTCATTATTGTTGTTTAGGAGAAGTATGTACGTGGGCATGCGTGTGTGTGGATACTCAAGGATACCAAGAAGAAGGGAAATTCCATTCTACACTCAATGCCATTGGAGGCAGTTTGGATCCCCCTCATCCAACTTAATGCTGTCTTTTTTGTACTTTCCATCCAAATTTGTCCTTAATTTGGTGATAAAAAGGTGCTTCTACTGAAAAATTGATTTAAAAATAATTCCTTCCTGTCTGACCGAAATTTCAGATCAGCCAAATATATTGTTCATCTTTGTCTTCTGTTCAGTCTCATATTGGGGACTGCACATGTACAGGCCTGCCATGGCAGATCTTCTAGCTTAGAATCCTTAGGGGCAGCCGCATGCCCACTAGAACTGTTGTAAACCTCTCTCCCTCTCAAAGGTCATACAGTCCAATGGCACAATGCCCCTTTAACCCTCAGTTCCTTCTTCACCAGGATGGAGTAGGTCTGACTTCTAGTATTCAGGATACATTGTATCAGTGAAGGAGGAAATTGACAAACTGTTCCTAAAGAGCAGGTCACCAGAAGAAATCCCTCCAGAGCTTGGCTGTTATGAAAACAATTGCTGCTGGTGTTAAGAGAGACAGAGAGATCAGATTCTCTAATGGCTTAGAAAAGCTTGTTTAACAAAAGTGCCCAATATGGAGCAAAGATGGCACAGATAGATGAACATGGTCTGTGCGTGTTATGCCTGGCCAAAGAGCACAATGTGTCAAACTGCAAAGTTTGTCAGCAAATTACAAATATGACCTGCTCTGAAAGAGCGTCTAAACTGAAGACAGTGTTATGGGAGAAAGCCCCACAGGCTTCAGAGACACCAACCACGGCTGCTCAAGCTACCGAAAGATCAAAGGCTCCATCTGTCATCTCCATGAAGTTGGGTCCATCGGTGCCAAGCAGAGATAAAACTTCAGCCACCATTCGATCCAGAACTCCTTTGGTACCAGGAAGTCTCTTGAAGCTCCCAGCCAAAAAGATGAAGAGCAAAAGGAAACATAGAGAGACCCGGGAAGCCAGGGGCTAAACATCACCATGCTAAGTCGGCTCTGAGTAGGGAACAAAGAGGGGAGAAGGAACCGTTGCCTGAGCCTCTGCCTAGAACGCTGTCGGTCATATCAGCCTACCCAGAACTGTCACTCTTAGGAGAGATCGGGATGAATCCAATCCCTATGTCAGAGCTGTGGCCAGCAGCGTTTCTGCCTACGGCACTATGGCCTTACTGCATGACTACTCACTACCTGCAAAACGAGAGTCATTATAATAAAATAAATCCAGGAATGGAACAACTGAATACCTGTTGCCCTCCAGGAGTCTCTGTAGCTGCGCAGTCTGCATGTCCACATGGGCCAAGATTGCTGGATCCAACATTTGACTTAGATGAGGAGTCAAATCAGCGCTGGGCCTCCCAGTTTGTCTCGGCTCCCATGCATCGGGCCGGTCACATACTTGATTTGATCTTTGCGGCGGGGGTTACGGTGGACCGTATTTCTGCCTTGGCAGTTCCATGGTCGGACCACCATGCCCTGAGGGCCCGTCTGAATGTCCTGCGCCAACCCCATTTAGGTGGCGAGCTGATTTGGGACGGCGGGACAGTGTCCAGGGGACTTTGTCAACTGGCCCTGGAGATCTGGACCAAATGCCAATCTCCGGGTGTGTTCCTCATTGCTGCTCACCAACCCGGATCACTCAATGTGCATGTGGACTTTCTGAGCAGGGGAGGCGCATCCCTTCACGAGTGGGAACTCAACTGGGCTTACCTCCAACCAATCTTTTGCAGATGGGGTCGCCCAGAAATAGATGCGTTCGCGACGCATCAGAATGCGAGGTGTCGTCTGTTTTGTACCAGGGCAGGACAGCATCCACTGTCACTGGGGGACAGTCTCCTTTTCCCTTGGTCCCACAGGCACATGTACCCGTTCCCACCAATTCCTCTGCTTACCAAAGGCCCGCCAGAGCAATCGTGACAGATTGCCAGCACCAAACACCGACTCACCCACAGCATGGATGAGGCAGGAGGAAGCCAAGTGCAGCTTACGGACATAATTGCTCAGGTGCAACAGCTCACTCAAGTAGTGAGTTTTGTTCAGGCTCAGCAGCAAGCTGGTGCTGCTGTGGCACCCCCACCCCGTTGCCCTGTAAACCCACCTGAGAAATTTGGTGGGAATGTGGATGAGTTTCTAGCCTTCTTAGCTCAATGCAAGTTATATATTGAACTCAGAGCTCAGGACTTTCCTAATGATAAAACTAAAGTATGTTTTGTGATCAGTCTCTTAAAGGGGCAAGCTGCCAAATGGGCTACTCCCTTTTTAGTAGAACCATCCCCGTTGTCAAATTTCCAAGGGTTTCTCGCTCAGTTATCAACTGCCTATGCTAATCCAATGCAGGCAGCCACTGCCAATAGAAAAATCCGAGCCTTGAAACAAGGAAAACTGTCTGTTGCTCATTACTCTACTGAGTTCTGTTTATTGGCTCAGGATTTAGACTGGAACGAGGCTGCCCTCATGGACCAGTATACAGAGGGATTGGCAGATGAAATGCTGGATGAGCTGGCTCGAGTAGACCGCCCTGAAAGCCTCCAAACCCTCATCACATTATGTTTGCGCATTGACGGCCGGTTACAAAGCCGATGACAGACAAAAAATCGTGGCTTCACCTCTGCTCCTCCTCCCCGCTCAACCCCTTGGTCCAGCATAGCCAGTCCCGGGTCGTCAGGAAACGAAGGGGAACCAATGCAATTGGGAACAGTGCGGCCACGCCTTTCTCCCGAGGAGAATACCCGACGCTGCACCCAGAACCTCTGTTTATACTGTGGTGGAGCTGGTCACTATTCCCTTGCCTGTCCAGTTAAACAACGTTGGTCTACGGTCCCGCTACTGTCAGTAAAAGACCAGCTCCAGGCCTGACTCAACCCTCAGACTTGGGGCATTTAGCAGGGTCATCTTGCTCGCCATTTCCAGATCATGGACTTTTTTTGATTCCTATCAAATTATAACTCCCTGATGGTCGGTGGCTCTTCATTCATGCCATGCTGGATTCTGGAGCAGCCTCTTGTTTCATGGACATTCTCTTTGTTAAACAACATGCTATTCCAACCTGAGAAAAGAAAACCCCGGCTTTGGTGGAAGCCACCGACAGACGACTGCTCCAGTCAGGACTTGTTACGCAGGAAACACGGCCACTCACCTTATGGGTGCATCACCACCAGGAACAATTATGTCTTGATATCGCTTGTGTGCCCCGGATTCCAGTCATTTTGGGTCTCTCTTGGCTGAGAACCCACAACCCACAAGTGGATTGGGTCCACCAAGAACTCCAGTTTCCTGTCGCCCCACCTCCTTCGTCCCTGTCTTCCACCTCACCAGAGCTGGAGTCTCCTGTCCTCCCACCCTCCTCGCTCCTGTCGTCCAGTCACCCACAGCTGCCGCCAGCGGTCTCATCCCCAGCAACTCCATCTCCCACCATAGTAGCCTCCAGTGTTCCCTCTAAGCTGAGTTAGTGTGAGCCAGCTCACAGTTTTTTAGCCTCCGGCTCACACATTTTTGTCTTAGCTCAGGAAGGATGGCTCCAGAGCAAACGAATTGATGCAGGAGCCAAATGGCTCACTCACAACTTTAATGCCAGTCGCTCAAAAAGGGCTCCATAGCTCAGAGGGAACATTGGTCGCCTCCGGCGCAGAATCATCATCCCTGCTTCCTGCTCCCTACCAAGACTTTGCAGATGTCTTCGAAGAAAAGGGAGTTGATCATCTGCCTACACACCAGCTATATGACTGTGCTATTGACTTGATTCCGGATACTCCCCTACTCGTTGGCCGGTTGTACCCCATGGCTGAGCCAGAGCTCAGAGCTCTACAGGAGTTTTTGGAAAAGAACCTAGCACAGGGATTTATCCGGCCTTCCATATCCCCACTCTCCGCTCCAGTATTATTAGTAAAAAAGAAGACGGATGACTTACGTCTCTGCAATGACTATAGAGCCTTGAACAAAATCACCATTCGAGACCGATACCCATTACCACTGATCCCCGAACTCTTGGATCGCCTTAAAGGAGCACAGGTCTATACGAAATTAGATCTTCATGGAGCATACAATCTGGTACGCATCAAACCAGGTGACGAGTGGAAAACAGCTTTTGGTACCAGATATGGAAAATATGAATATCTAGTGATGCCCTTTGGTTTAACCAACGACCCCGCAGTTTTTCAACAGCGCATGAATGACATCTTTTGTGACCTACTGTGGACCACTTTGTTATTATTTACTTGGATGATATCCTTGCGTACTCCCACTCCATGATCCAACACGGAGCATGTGCGTCAGGTCTTCCAACGCCTTCATACTCATGGGCTATACACCAAGCTAGAAAAATGTGCTTTCCATTTACATTCCGTGGAATTCCTGGATCATATAGTGTCCCCTCAAGGCCTCCTCATGGACCCAAGAAAAGTCGAGGCTATTGTTCAATGGCAGGTACCCCAAAATTGGAAGGACGTCCAACGACTGTTAGGATTCGCCAATTATTATATACAGTTTATCCCCGCATATGTGTCCTTGACCACCCTTTTAACCCAGCTTCTTCGCCCTAAGGAACCATTTCAGTGGACACCAGAAGTGGAACATGACTTTCTTCAGCTAAAATC